GCCAGCAGCCGCAGTGAGCGGCCGTCCAGAAGCCGGCGACTGATGTGCCTTGCCCGGGAAGAGCAATGATGGTGCCAACTTGGGCCAGTGAAGCAGCGTCCTCCACAACTAGGCTGAAGACCAAAAAATGACAGCAACTTGTCTGTTCCCCTTCCCCCAATTCCCCAATAAAAATCTTTAAAAAAAAAAAATATTCTTATACCTAACTTTTAGTGATTCATGGAGGAAATTCTATGCTATAAATAGAAAAAGCAAAGTACAAAATTTTACATACAGTCCAATCGCGACTATTTAAAAAATATATCTGCACATGGAAAGATCTAAATTTACTGCTAAATAAAAAAAGACAAGTTGCAAAATAATATATATACAGCATGGTCCCATTTATGTAAACAGTGTCTGACTTATTTAAGTATTCAATAAATGTAAGCTATTATTATTATTATTAACACATACTACTTTATAATCAGAAAAATCAAATGTATTTAAATTATAAGTTTTGGTACTTCCTTATTTAATAAATAACAAGTATATTGGGGTGGCCAGTTAGCTCAGCTGGTTAGAGCACAGGCTCATAACACCAAGGTTGCCTGTTCAATTCCCACATGGGCCAAGGAGCTGCGCCCTCCACAACTAGATTGAAGACAGCTACTTGACTTGGAGCTGATAGGTCCTGGAAAAACACACAGTTCCCCAATAAAATTTCTATTAAAAAAAAAGTGTACTACTTTAGAAAAATTAAATAGCATTTCTTTCCTGGAACCCTTAATTTATAAAATATCTCACAATTATACAATTTCGGATTAAATACCTCTAACTTATGGGAATTAAGTAGCGCTGAGAAAAAACGGTGCAACAATACCGATTATCTAAGGTATGGTTACCTTCAGCATGTTGGATCACAGAAAACTGTGCTGATTACTATTATACACATTTAGAGTTTAAAGTCATAGATAAAAAGGCAAGATCAAGGGTGGTATTTCAAGGGCTATAATGAACAAGCAGATGCTCTTGGCCAACATCTCACACTGCATCAAAACTAAGGCTTTGGTGCATGCACTCTTCAAGAGATAACCAATAGCTCCAGGCTGATGCAGCAGGCACATGTAGGACATAAATGGAAATCAGAAATATTTTTCAGCTGCTGTCTTTAGGTAGACTTTACACACCCACACCCACACACACAACCCCACAAAGGACTTATTTTGAATAAAAAATGGTCAACTCTAGAACTTAGTTCCTCAAGTTCCATAGGAGTCTCAATATTGGAGTATGTAAGTTGAAATGCAAGGTCTGGGGTACTGCACTGATTTTTCGCCCACCTATGGCAAGGAACAAGTTCAAACATTAAAAGATGAAAGATTGTTTCCTTCCCCTTCTCCTCAGATATGTGCAAGAAAATAAAATACCTGTCAAAGTAATAAAGAACATGAAAAGTGCTAGAGAATTAACTAGGTAGAAAACAAAACAAAAAACCAACAACTATAACTTTGAGGAAGAGTTGTCTGTTTTTCCTGCACTGTATTGTACAGGATTACAAAACCATCATGCAGACAAAGGAGAGTCCGGCTGTCCTGTCTTTACCTCTATCTTGCTCCATCAGCCCATTGCAGTACATGGCATGGCGCTCGATCTTTGTGGGTGGGAAGCCTTGGTCACACAGTGGGCAGGATATGTTGGTATTGGCTGAGAAGGTAAAAGCAGGTATTTCCTTCTCAGCATCTTCCCTGTTACCAACCTGCAGAACATGATAAATGGCAATTGTAACAGCTTTACTTTATAAAATTTTCCCCAAAGAACCAACCGTAAGAGGCTCCATCCCATACTTCACCTACTTTCAAAGAGACAATACCAGTTTGCCAAATTCAGGACTGAGAATTAAGAGATATTCAGTGCCTACCTACTATGTGCTTAGCACTCTGCATGTAATCCTCATATAATCCTCATAGTAATCTACAAAGGTATTAACATACATGCCCAAAGTTACAGAACAAATTAAGTGGCACAGCTAAAATTCAAACCAAGGACTATTTGGCTCCAAAAACTGAGGGCGTGCCTCTCCATTCGCACTGCAAGGCACTGTACTCACTGGGTCAGTATACTATGTCTGCTGTTCCAACAGTCTGTATGTATCTACAGCATCTTAAAGACACTTTCTCAATCTCACAAGCAAACTGTGATATTATAAATGACTTCAGACGTAAGGAGTTAGAAAACAAAAGAGCTCTAAGCAAAAGCAGCACAATGAAAATTTAAGAACCTAGGCATCAGCTTAAACCAGTAAAACATACCACCTCTTGTGTTTTATTTGTGACTTTAGGATTGAAAAGGGAAACACATCTAAGATCCAAATATTTAAGAAAGCCAAAGAAAAGTCATTAAGAGAATTCTGCCGAAGTCGCTCTTACACCTGATCTCTTTTGCCCCTCTCAGTATTCTACAGTCACCATTTTTCCCATAGTCGCCAGTGTCTCAGAGGCAGTTATATTTTACCTTTACAGGTCAGAACTGAGAACTCTGCAGTGATTAATTCAACAGTATGCATGAGCACTGCAGCACTATTGCCTAACGCTTGCTTCAAAGGACAGCATGTCCTATCCAATCAATGTGAAACCATCCTGCATAGCCATGGCTTCCATTTAAGAGCAAGGAGCATTGGGGCTGTCATTATGCCTTACTACAGGGAAAAAATAAACCATTATCTGGTACAAGAACAAAACAGGACAAAACAGCATGAGCAGATAATCTGAGCTCTAAGCCAAGTGGGTTTTGAGGGGTTTTTTTGGTCTCTATAAGTTTAGGCCACCCCTAAAATCTACTGCTTGTGAATGTGATCCAGCAGAGAGGGAAACAGGCCATCTAAATACCAAGTCACACAGTTTCTAGAATTGCCTTTTACTTAAAACATATTCTGAAAGGGAAAAAAAGAAAGATGAGAAAGGAACTAGCAGTGGTTGAGTTCCCATACTATGCCAGGCTTGGCCCAGCATTTTCCATCTCCATTACTCATAACCACCCTACCGGCAAAGGTACCACTAGCTGCAGTATTAGAGGAAATTGAAGCTTGGAAAGGCCAAGTAACCTACTGTTCACAAAATTAGTAAGTAGGACATCTAGACTCAAACCTAGGTCTGTGTGGCATCAAAACCTTCAGTATTTCATTCCACCATGGAGCGGCAAAAGCAAAAAGCACCCCCTCCCACTTTGTTTCTGGAAGCTGACTCTGCCAGGTATTAGGAGACTATATGTTCTATTATTCTTCTCTAGGATTTGGGGGAAGTCCAGTGGGTCTAGAAGTTCTAGGTATTACTTATTCCAAGCTTAGTCACTGAGCTTCTCACAAACCCCAGTTCCTCCGTTCATAAGTTTTACAATGAAAAGTTTCTTGTGCATGCAAAGCCATTTGAGCAAAGGGGAGAAAATCAATATAGCCGAAAATTTGCAAGTAGTTCTGAGTTACTCAAAGTTAGTGGTGATCAGGCAGTTACTAGGCATTCTAAAGTTCACCAAGTGCAGAAATGTTATATGACAGGAATGTCACAGTGCTATATTCCTTTGTATTTATCACCAGCTCTATAAAATGTAGAGAATGTACCTTCAGCTATTAATGTATTCAAGAAGGAGTAGTCTGTCTACTGTCTTATTGTGAATACAAGACCACTTCCATTCACACTCACAGACAACTCAGAAGGTTTCTGAACATTTTTATATTAAAATAAGATTTTTCCAACACCATTAAAATGGTCTATTTAAATACTAGCTACAATGGAGGAACCACAAGAGAAAAAAATACAAGCACAGCAGCTTTTATTAGACTGAGTCAGGGACTCAGTCTCAGCAGAACGGCTTCTACTTCTTTTAAAACACTACATAGCCATTTCTCAAAAGAGGTAGCTGGACACCGAATCTTCATCTCTTAAAGGTTTCTTACTGTCTAACCTCAAAAGAAACTTCACCTCAAGAAATGGACCCAATGAAAATAAAAGCATGTCTTCCAAATCACCACCCCTGCCCTTCCCCCACCCATCACATGTGTAGCTTAGAAAGCTGTTTGTCTAGATCGATCTGTCTCCTCTTACCATAGGGCTCAACATAGTTTACTTAAAAACCAACTGACTAAACAGACTATTTGGTTCTGAATAACGTCCATTAACTTTTCTGAGAACAGATTATCTGAGACTCCAAGTATGGGAAACTCTGAGGCAAGAGATTCAGAAACATTATTTCCAAAGGAACCTGGCCACTGCAGGAAATCAAATCAAGAGGGATTACAGTTCTGCCACAGGTATTCTAAATACCGCAAATACTGTCCAGCAGTTCTCTGTCATTAGTAAGGTCATATCACTGAACAGCCACGATACATTACAAAGCAGTAAGATAATAACTGGTTCCACATGCACACTTCTACTTGTGCCAAATCTCTGTGTCTTATATTCTTTATCTAATCTAATCTTCAGAGAAACCCAGTGAATAGCTCCATTATAATATGAAGAACTGAAATTCAGAAAGGCATTCCTCTTCCATGCCCCTAGGCATCTCTCTCTCTATCATTATATTTGTCAGACCACATTATAATCATAATTTTCTATTTATGTGTCTGTCTCCTTCCTTAACAGGACCCTTTGAGGACAGGGACTGTTTTTGTTTTATTTATCTTCATATCTCAAGAATCTAAAACAATGACTGGATCCCAGTACACTAACTATAATATCTGTTCAATAAATGAATAAAATGATTAATTAAATAATTTGCCCAAGGTCACAAAGTTAAGTGGTGGGATTGGGATTCAAAGTTATGTCTTCTAATTCCAATAGTCAAGCTCCTTGCACTACCAAACCACCTTCCAATAAATAAAAAAATCTTAGGACAAATGACTCTATACACAGCTTCCAAGGGTAAAGTCCACACCCAATATACTATCTTTGTATATATAAAATGTGCAGATTCCATCTTTCAATTAAGTGACTTGTAACTAGTAAGTGATTACTTAAAAACTACAGCATCTCTAACTTCTTTAAGGGAAATTTTAAGACAATTTAGAGACATACACAGATATCAGCAAAGAGCAATACGAAAGGACATTCAATGCGAGAAAGGCCATACGATTCTATTTGATGTGTAGTGGTGCAGACATATACGCTTTAAATTCTAAATAGGGTTCATGCTTTTTGCCCCAAAGAACAGTCTCCTTCAGAATCATGGATGGGTAAGAAATCAGCCTTAACTAAAAGTTTGCAGAGCTTCTTCCATATGTTGGGATGACTGTGTTGATAACACTCTGTTCAAGGTTCTGGTCCCTCCCTAGGAAAAGGACCTGAGGCCATTTTGACATGATCTAGCAGGATCTGTCCTTAGTCACTCTGCTGCAGGGAGTGTCATCACCTTTCCTACCACCACTGGCATCAGGGAATCTTGGTGTCAGTTATGACAGATCAGGTTCCAGGAAACCAAGCAGTGTGCATGATTCATGAAAGCAGAATTTCTACCCAGTTACCTGCAGTGCAGAAACTAGGGAGAGGATCTAACTTCTACTGTAAAAACTGTTTCCAAACAACCCAGAGTATAAAAAGGAGTAAGAATGTAGCCTTTTTAAATAAGGTACTGAGGATAAGATAGTATATACAAATGTAACCAAACTATTTATTTCCAAAGAAAAATTAGTTTAATTCTCAGGCTGCTTTTCACAACAACAGATTTTAAAGACTTGAAATTCTTTAAAAGAACTCTTCGTAATTAAATGTTTTATCAGTCTCAATATGAATATACACTGAGAACCTTAATCAGAAGTGTGAACGTATATCAATCAGCTTTATGGTTAATGTGAAATTAGGAAAGGTAATATTGCAAACAGAGGTTTGCTTATTTTATTATGCTGATATTCTGACTTTGAATTTCTGATAACTTCTACAAATTAGGGCTGAAACTTATATAGTGACAATTGCCAAGACTGTTCATCTGTTATTTATCAGTATATAATGGAAAATACCTCAGACTTTAGAGAGAAATCTGTGTGCAAATTCTAGTTCTACATTAGCAGTTTGAATTTGAACAATTTACTTAAACATCCTAAGCTTCCATTTCCCCATCTGTAATAGAAATAATAAAGCATATTAAACTACTCAAGAAATGGTAACTATTGTTATTTTTAGAAACAATGCTGAATTGATCTTAACTATAAGAATCTCTCTGAGATAAGCGTCCCAAAAGCTACAACCCTCTAAATCTTTTCAGCCACGTCACCTAAATCTTTTCAGCCACATCAATGTAGCATCAGAGAGAGGGCTACCAATAGAAAGAAACACTGAGAAAAATTAGACAGAATATTCACCTCCTTATCTGCCATTATTATTCTTACTTCATCCAGGTTCTCTCTGCTACCTGGAGAGACTTCTTTTTCAAGGTCAAAAGTTTCAGGGGAACTTAGCTGTGTCTCTGTAATTAAAAAATTTAAATCTCATTAATTTTCATTTTGTATTTTCATAGTTAAAAAAACAAACATCTATTTCCCCTAAAGCTTAAGGTATGATAATATTGTTGTGGCAACATAGATCTAGTTTGTTTCTTCTTAAAACTTTACTTCAAAGCATAATTTACATACAACAGAATTCACAATTTTCAGTATATAATTTGACACGTTTTGACAAATATACATAATTTATACATGCTATCATTTATACCATGTAAACTACCACCACAATCAAGATACAAAACATTTCTAGCACCCCAGAAAGTTCTCCCTTTCTAGCACCCCTAAAGTGCACCCTTTTGCAGTCAATCCTGTTCCATTTGGCTCCTTGCAATGACCAATCTACTTTATGTTCCTACAAGTTTTGCCTTTTCTAGACTGTCATATAGTGTCATCTTTTGTGTCTTACTTCTTTCATTTAGTATAATGTGTTTGAGAAGCATCTGTGTTGTTACATGTATCAGTAGTAGTGCATCCCTCTTTACGGCTTAGTTGTATTCCACTGTATGGATATATCAGTTTGTTTATCCATTCATTAGTTTGGCTTCTTTCCAGCATAGCTGCGGTTTTAAAATATATTTACTCTGACAAAAAATAAAAACCTGCCAATGTTAGTTCTGAGATTAAAGAGATGATTAGAGACAACAAAAATTGGAAGCAGAAATAGAAAATACATTCTCAAGATGTGCCTTTCTTTAATATATTCTTTAAGCAGCATCTATTCATTCAACATTAATTAAACAAATATTTATTCTCCAAGTTCCAGGCATTGCATAGGCTCCTAGCATATGAAGGTGTAAGATGGGATCCCTCATAGTCTCACAGTTCAGGGGTCAGCATACTATAGCCGATGAGGCAAATCTAGCCAGATGCCTATTTTTGTTAATAAATTTTTATTGGAACACAGCCATACTCATTCTTCTTTGTATTGTCTATGGTTGCTTTTGTGCTAAAATGATGAATTGAGTAGTTTCAACAGAGACTGTATGGCCCACAAAGCCTAAATATTTACTATCTAGTCTTTTATAGAAAAACTTTTCCAACATCTGGTCTAGACCCTTATCTCTTAATATAACAAAAGAACAGTAACTATATTTCAAAGGACAATAAATTTGGAAAAGAAATGTGCCTCAGAACATAAATCCAGTAAGTTCTCTGTTATCTACACTGTACATCTAACTGGTACTTCTGTGCTTCACAAATGCAATGAATGGACAATGTTGAGCAAATAAAGTACCTGCAAGACACTGAGGTATCTACTCAATCAAAAAGAAGGATTAAATACATTTCTAGTGTTAACCACAGTTTAATACATCATAATTTTTTAAAAACTGGATACACACACATACAAATTTTACCACTTTGTTGGAAAAAGGATTATAGTGCATAAACTTCAAAATCTTCTTTGTCAAGTTTCCCTGAGAGATATTACCAAAAAATACAGTCTGTTAAAAAATAATAGCTCACTGCTTTACTACTGTAACAATAAAAGGTCTTTAATCAAGCTTTTCTGTGAATGGCTGAAATGTTTAACTATAAAGACAATTTAAGAGGGCATGAGTTCCTTAGAAAGAAACAATGCTATTATCATGCACAATGGGGGCATAAGGCTATAATCCTGCTTCTTCGACAAAGTGAATAACTCTAAAAAGATGTTATAATTTTGAGTATCAGACCCCTGGAACTGTCAGAAATATGTGAAACAAAATAAGTAAGATGGACTACTACACTCAATCTGTGTTTCACCCATTTAGAACAGAATTTTTGGACAATTTAGATGCATAGCTTATAAATTTTATTTTTAGAAGAATTACAATGGACTAAGGAGTCTGGCTCCATGGAGAAGTTACACTTCCTTAGCAAAACAGTACTTTGTAATCTCATTTAGAAGTGGCTTATGTCAGCAAACAGTTGGACTTAATTAGCAGGCTAATGACAGCAAGTCATGATCGTAAAAGTTACCTAACCTCAGTAATAAAGGGCTTGCTTTTTCCTCTCTCGTTAACTAGGACTTTCAAGATTATTATATTTGCAGGTCCCCCCTGCGAGATCCCAGGGTGATGTCACATGCCATCATCCTAAACGAACAGAGTGACTTCCAAGCAGGATGGCATAAGCCAGTAGACCCAGACAGAGAGGGGGTAAACTGTTCTTTTCACAAAGATAGCACAGCATTCCTGAGTGCTCCTACCAAAACTGGAGCACTTGATAGTGGGTCCCTTAATAAGTATCATTAGGCACTACTCCAAATACATTTCAGATGAATTAAGAAACCACTTTCGATAAAAACCAACAAGTTAAACTTTAAAAACAAGTAAAGAAAAAACTTTATGACATGCTGCCAAATGTTTAAAGTGTTTACAGGACATATTTTTCTTCTTTTTAAAGATTTTTTAAAAAATATAGCTAACGTACAATATTATATTAATTTCAGGTGTACATCATAGTTATTCGACATTTATATACCTAAAGAAGTCCAGCAACCATCTGAAACAGTACCATGCTATCACTATATTATTGACTATATTCCCTATGCTTCACATTATATCCCCATGACTTGTTTTATACCTAGAAATTTGAACCTCTTATTCCCTTTCCCCTTTTCCCCCTCCCCCTTTTTAATTTTTCAATTACATTTGACACTCAATATTATATTAATTTCAGGTATACAGCATAGTGGTTAGATATTTATATAATTTAAGAAGTGATCCACCTGACTAGTCTAGTACCCACCTGACACTATACATGATTATTACCATATTATTGATTATATTCCCTGTGCTTTACTTTACATCCCCAGGACTATTTTGTAACTACCAATTTGTACTTCTTAATCCCTTCCCCTTTTTCACCCACCCCAAAACCTGACTATCTGGCAACCATCAAAATGTTCTCTGTATCTATGAATTTGTTTTGTTTATTTTGTTCTTTGGATTCCACATATAAGCGAAATCACATTGCATCTGTCTTTCTCTATCTGACATACTCCACTCAGCACAATACCCTCCAGGTCCATCCATGTCGCCAGAGATGGCAAAAACCCATTCCCTTCCCTGACCAAGCAATATTCCATTGCATATATGTACCACCTCCTCTTTATTCATTCATCCATTGATGGACACCCAGACTGCCTCCACATCTTAGCCATTGTAAGCAATGCTGCAATGAACATATGGATACACTCATCCCCTTGATATACAGTAGCATTTTGGGTTTCTTCAGATAATTACCCAGAAGTGGGATTACTGGGTCCTTCTTTGTCTCTTGTTATAGCCTCTGTTTTAAAGACTATTTTGTCTGCTACCCCAGCTTTTTTTTTTTTTTCATTTCCACTTTCATGAAATATCTTTTTCCCACCCCTTTACTTTCAGTCTGTATGTGTCTTTCAATCTGAAGTGAGTCCTTTGTAGGCAGCATATGTTAAAGGTCTTGTTTTCTTATCCATTCAGCCAGCCTATCATTTGATTGGAGCATTTAATCTATTTGCATTTAAAGTAATTATTGATAGATATGTAGTTATTGCCAGTTTATTATTCACTTTTTTTTCCATCTTAAAAAAGTCCCTCTAAAATTCCATGTAATTCTGGTTTGATGTTGATGAACTCCTTTAGCTTTTTCTTGTCTGGGAAGCTCTTTATCTGTCCTTCAATTCTAAGTGATAGCTTTGCTGGGTAATCTTGGTTGTAAGTCCTTGCTTTTCATCACTTTGAATACTTCCTACCAATCCCTTCTGGCCTGCAAAGTTTCTGTTGAGAAATCAGCTGACAGTCTTATGGGAGCTCCCTTGTAAGTAACTGCTTTTCTCTTGCTGCTTTTTAAAATTCTTCCTTTGTATTTAACCTTTGGCATTTTAACTATGATGTTTCTTGGTGTTGGCCTCTTTGGGTTCATCCTGTTTGGGACTCTAAGCACTTCCTGGGCTTGTATATTTATTTCTTCTACCAGGTTAAAGAAGTTTTCAGTCATTATTTCTTCAAATAGGTTCTCAATTCCTTGCTCTCTCTCTTCTCCTTCTGGTACACTTTTGATGCAAATGTTAGTATGCTTGATGTTATCCCAGAGGCACCTTAAACTGTCCTCATTTTTTGAGATTCTTTTTGCTGTTTTGATTGGGTGTTTTCTGCTACCTTATCTTCTAAATCGCTGATTTGATCCACTGCTTCACGTAATCTACTGCTGATACCCTCTAATATAGTCTTTATTTCAGCTATTGTATTCTTTATTTCTGACGGGTTCTTTTTTATGTTTTTTTTAAATCTCCATTTTTAGGGCCGGCCGAGTGGCGCGATGGTTGGGAACTGGCTTGGGACACCAGAGGGCCCCGGTTTGGATCCCACATATGAAGGCCAGTGACACTGCCCTCCACAGCTAAGATGCTGAACAACAGCTCAACCTGGAGCTGGGCTGCCGTGAGTCGCCGGCGACGGTGTAGGCTGCAGCCCCTGTGGCAGTGGGTTGCCATGGGCTACCATATGTAGCCAGCAGCCAGCGTGAGCGGCCAGCAGCCGCCGTGAGCAGCCGTCCAGAAGCCGGTGACTGATCTGCCTTGCCCAGGAAGAGCGCAATGATGATGCCAACTTGGGCCAGTGAAGCAACGTCCCCCACAACTAGACTGAAGAACAAAATGACAGCAACTTGTCTGTTCCCCTTCCCTCAATTCCCCAGCACTGTTCCCATCCCCCCAATTCCCCAATAAAAATCTTAAAAAAAAAAAATCTCCATTTTTATGTTTCCTATCTCTTCGTTGAAGTTTTCCCTGAGATCACTGAGCATCCTTATAACCAATGTTTTCAACAACGCATCTGATAGATTGCTTGACTCCATTTTGTTTAATTCTTTTTCTGGAGCTTTGTTATGTTCTTTAATTCAGGACATGTTTGTCTCCCCATTCTGGCTGCCTCCCTGTGTTTGTTTCTATGTATTAGGTAAGGCTGTTATGTCTCCCAGTCTTAGCAGGGTGGCCTTATGTAGTAGGTGTGCTGTGGGGCTCAGTGGCACAGTCCTCCTGGTCACCTGAGCTGGATGCTCCAGGTGTGTCCCTTGTATGGGTTGTGTGTACCCTCCTGTTGTAGTTGAGCCTTAATCGTTGTTTGCACATTAATGAGAGGGATTGACTTTCGGGCTGATTGGCTGTGGGTACAATAGAGGAGCTGCTGTGCAGGGGCTGACCCTACAGAGCAGGATTTACTGTTAGAAGGGCTCTGGTGCCTGCCCAGTGTGCTCTTTGGATGTGACATCCCCAGAGGTGGCTAGTGATGCTCCACCTAGGTCTGAAGCTGGCCACCGGGCCTGCCAGCCCTGGGACCTACTGGGAGGGACCCCACCTCAGGCCAAATTCAGCCACAGCCTGTGCCCTGCCCAGTGCCATCTGGCATGAGCCACAAAGCGATCCGCAGATGACTGCCACTGGGCTTGGAGGTTCCTCAAGAGGCCAAGCTGCAAATCAAGGCTGGCTGTCGCTAGCATCGGGTTTAGGGATGCTGAGCCAGAGGTACGGGACACGCTAAAGCCAGATGCTACATGTTTGGGTTTTGTGAACCTTTGAGAGATTTTAGGAAAGTCCGCTGCATGAGCCAAGACAAGCTGTTCATATGGAAAAGCCACTGGAAACGGCTTTGGTATGCCCAAAAGTTGGGTGGGGCAGGGTCTCAGGGAATCAGGGAGAAGGAATGGTGTTAGCCACGTTGATGGGAGACTGAGATATGGCGGAGGCCTGCGTCTGCACACCAGGATGAGGACAGGCTCAACAAAGAAACAATGGCCTCCACCAGCTCCTCCACCAGAAGAAAGCTTCCCCTCCAGCTCTGGCTCTGAAGCCAGACAGTTCCTCAGAGACAGTGAGTCTGTTAGCGAGTAAGTTTGTGCACACGCCCTTTAAGAGGAGCTCTTGGGACTGCAACCGCCCTAGTCTCACTCAGCCACAATCTCCGCTAGTTTTCACAGCCAGAAGTTATAGGGCATTCACTCCCCAGCAATGAAATCCTGGGCTGGGGAGCCTGGTGTGAGGCTGGGACCCCTTGCTCCTCCAGGGGGAGCCTCTGCAGCTGAGATATCCCTTCTGATTTGTAATGGTCACACACAAGTGTGGGACCAGCCCGTTCCACAGCCCCTCCTACTAGTCTCAAGGTGGCCTCTTGTGTATCCATAGTTTTCTTATTTTGGTTTCTTTCAAGTTTTTTTCCATAGAAACTCAAACTTAGTTTGTACTAGTCTCTCTGACCCCTGACAGGTCATATGAGACCTAAGGGAAAAGTAGGTATGACTTATAATAACATTTGTACAACACTTGCTGCGCCAAGAGTTTAAACATTAATGGAAATCCACTCAATCTCACATGAACAAGGTTACTGATAAATGTAATAGGCCCACTTTTAAGAAAAGCCAAAAAGAAAACACAGGCTAAAACAAATTCCTTAGGAAGTAGTGTTTCATATCACAAAATAATTCTTCATAATATACAATGATTCAACTCAAGAGTTCTCTTAATGAGTATCTTTGTTCATTTAAAATTATTTGTTTATCAAAATCTATTCATGTGCATCTTTGAATGAACAGCTCTTGTACCTAAAGCAAGGTACACATGTCTTTTCATTTCTATAATTAACAAAAAGCAAAGTACAGTACTTAATCAGGTTAAATGTGTCTGAGATTAAAATATAAGTCAATGAACAGATCTGTGCACAAAATTTGATTTCTTGACTCCCTAGATAATAATGCCTTGTGAATGGCAATGTAAAACTAATAAAAAGCTCTGAGAAAAATCTGCTAAACTGACAGGCTGCTTTGAGGACAGCCCAACTTTGAGAACCCATAAACCAAAACAGAAAGTCCTCTTGGCTCTGAATGTACAATTAAGTGCTATTCCTGATGGTTTGCTGCCATCTCTGATGAGACTGGTAAGCAAACATGCGGACAAGAGTCATGTTAATTTCAAACCTCAAATATCTCTAAGAGAAAAAAATTGAGACGCAGAGCCAATGTCCATTAAAAAAAAGGTGTGTGTACGATGTATGTGTGGAGATACACACAATCAATCACACACAAATCTCCTGGTAGTGGGTTGGAAAAGTCAGGAAAATTAATAGGCACAAAAAGGTAGATAGCAAGGGATCAGAAATGCAATAAAATCACAGTGGGTTGCTTACCAGGACACACAGTGACTTCCTCTGCAGAATTCTCTGGCATAAAGACTGAGTCTCTCTTACTGGTCAAAGCAGCAATGCTGAAAAAGAACCAAACTCCAAGTGAATTTCCAGTAAAATAAATCAGACCACCGGACCAAAAGCAATGGTGAGTCATTAACAAAGCCACAGGTAATCTGATACCTGCTGTCCAATACCACAAAAGCACAACAGGGAAGCAAGGAATCAGTAGTGACAATTCCAAGCCAGAAATAGGAAAAATAAACATACTTACAACTTTGGTTCCAGAAATCACTGAATGAAAAGAACCCCCTTTTGGAGTCTTCCCAAAGGAAGGCTGAAGGGTAAGGGCTATCTATGAATACCACAGAAGACAAAAATTCCACTCCAATGTAAGGATGTCAAAGGTGTTTTATAGCCTCCAGCTCAGCCTTTTGAAGGCTAGAGATTTATAAACTCCTAAGCGAAGACATGGAGATTCCCCTGACAACACATGAGCTTTTCCTGCACCTTGCAGTTAAACTTCTTCTTTATCTCAAGATATGGCTTTCCAAGCAACAAAAGTTAAGATACAGTCCCAAAATGCCCTATAGCAACAATGTGCCCACACAAGTGGACTATCTCTTCTGAGAAAAACATAATTATCAATGGTTCCCCTCATCCAACCTTCTGGTTTACCTTGCATGTTCATGGAGTGCAATCTCTTCCTGACAAAGAAACACAGGGCTGAGAGATCTGAGCATCTGAGCTAGCTAGCTCCCTCATGCTTCATAGAGCTTTACGATTAGTTTGATCAAGTATGCATGAGGATGCAAATCCTCACATCAACCAAGAACCACAGAGAAGAGAAAATAACCACCACTGATTCATGATAAATAACTAAAACCTGATAGGAAACCACAAGTGATTTCTCTCTCTAAATAAAACATCTCATAGCATTTGTTATAAACCCCAGCCAGGCAGAGTTTACTCTGCATGTAACATTAGGGCTCTATTCAAAGGGTCCATCACAAAACAATTTGCTGACATTTATAAAATGGGCTAATCAATTTGAAGACAAACCGCATTGCCTGCAATTCCAACTCTCTCCTGGTGACAAAGCATATAATCATTTATTAAAACCTACATCTGCTCTGCACAAGCCTCACCACAACAAAGCAGAGAGGCCTGCGGGAAGCAGAATGCCTACTCCAGTTAAAACCACTTCCAAAACTGTCTTAACAGCAGGAGAATCAAACCAAAACCATATTCTTCAGCTCAGGAAGAAATACCTACTACTATTAATTTAACCAAAAGCCTAGGAACACCAACTAAATTACAGCAAATGGCAACTGGGCCTCAACTTCTATATGGGAGATGAAGGTCACTCAACACAAGATTAAGCTCTTGAATAATCCCCAAAGGTCAACTACTGGATAAAGGGAAAAGTAATTGGAAGCCTGATCCAGTTAACAGTGCAGTTTGTAACCCATCAACTACTATATATCATTAAAGAGAGAAGATGGATGAAGGAAACCCCCCATTAATCAATTAGCGAGATTAATTGAGGAGGTAATGCAAATACAACCATTTAAAGGGAAGATGAGATACAATCAGAATAAAAGTGGCATAGGACAAAGAGTGAGAGTAATGCAGGTTCTGTGTGGCCTGAATAATATGAAGGCTTCAAAGAACAGGTAAGTCTTAAGAGTAGACTTAAAAGATGTGTGTGTTTTGGATATACAGATAAAATAAGCAGGTAAGCAGGGAAACAAAAGGAATATGAGGACTAGAAAGAACATAAAGAAATCAGTTAAAAGCCTTCAAACTGGCATAGGAAGCTAGCATTGTTAGTTAAGAGACAAGCAGGATATAACCACTTTTCAGGGAATAATGTAAATGGGATTTGTGCCAAGATGGCTGGATTAAACAAGAAAACCAACAAGAAAAACCGAGATTTCTTCCACCCAAATATTCTAGGCTTCTATGAGATGCATATTTGAGAACTGAGACATAATGATTTCTCCCAGTCTGTGCTTATAAAGAGCTAAAAAAAATCCCTGGCAAGCTGTCCCTCTACAGTCTCACTCATGTGGTTACTCTCTCTTATTCTGGCACCATCAAAGAATTCAGAACCATAACGATATATAATCTTACCTTTGTGAGGCAGGTACAGAGTTTCCTTCTTCAGAAGTTTCTTCAACAAATAGCCCTTGGGAAGACTGCAAAGAAATGTGTAACATTATAAATATACAGGCACAGATAACTAGTTTCTCTCTTTTTTTAATTAATTGTTCAACTTAGCAATTAGCAATAAGAATAAAACATTTTATATTAAATCAGTAAGTTTCAGTAAAAGAGCATATCCTGTGGAGTCAGAAGACTGGGATTTAAATCACAGGTGAATCACCTACTAACTTTTTAATCTTGGGTAAGTCATATCTGAATTTGTGTCCTCATCTTAAAATGGGTATTAATAATTGCCTCACAGACTGTTATTGTGAGAATTAAACAAGATAAGATATGTGATGTACTTTGTAAAACGCAAAACATAAATATTAATTGGTGAGTCAAATGAATTATGATTTCAGAAAAGGAGTTATAAAGCTTCTGTTGTGGAAGGAGGAGATAGAGAAAAAAGTCCAGTTTTCAATGGAAATATTAAGTTGGGAAAAACAGTACAATCCACAAAAGACTCTCTGGGCACAACCAAGTCGTAACAGATTCCTTTGCTACAAATCTGCCACTATGGTTCTGGTATCTGGATACAGGGGTATCTTTTAAGAAACATAACAAATAGGGACTGGATAAGGAAAAGATTATTTTCTTTGATTAATGGTCGAGTTGGTACAAATGTCAACTCATTAAATGGAGGTACACAGAACAGCACAAAAAGGGCAGCTACTGCCTACTTAGCTGGACTTCTGAGGAAGTGCCTGGGCTGTGAGGCTTCTTCCAACAGATGTAAAGCTACTGGCTGAAGTTTACAGGGTCTCCTAATAGGATATAAATAATCTAAACAAGTTAGGCATCTCGCTACCACTCTGGTAAATGATGAAATATACTAAAAAACAGGAATCCCTTCAGTCAAAGGGAAGATAAAGCTATACAACGATCAGGAATATAGCCATTATGAAAAATAAGGGTTGAACAAAACTGTCAAAAGGACTAAAATACAACAGCAATAAATACTTCACCTATTTGTTTTAACTCAGTAGTGACAGTTTCATTCCTGAAATCTTAAAAAAAAAAAAAAAAGGTAAATACTGACACCTAGTGTCCATTTAATAGAACTTTACATTCTTAGAATGACCCTTCAGAAGCAATCAAGGCGTTAAGAAGTTATAAGATACCTTCACCTCCACCTTAGGCTAAAGCATATCTCTACCTTTCCCAAAGTAAATTAAAAAACATATATATTGTACATTTACTATAAGCCAGGACCACGCTAATCATTTACATTACATACATTATCTCCTTTAATCCTCACAAGAAACTTTTGAGGCAAAAACTATTAAATTATTTTAGAAATGAGGAAAGTGAAACTTAGGTTAAATAATTTGCCCCAAATCACGGAGTCGGTCAAAAGTAGAACTGGGACCTGTCTGACTCCAAAATCCATGCTCTAGCCACTAGTTATGTTGTTTACTCTTCTTCCCAACCATTTCAACATATCCCAAGAAAGTCTTCATTTCGTTAAATCATTTTTAATTTCTAAACTTAAACCTCGAGCATACTAGGCATGTAACTTTAAGGAAACTGTGGCCTAATCAAGACATAGCACTCTGCCTGAAGAAATAATGTTAATGGAAAAAGGACAATTTGCAAAAAAATCTAAACAAAATCCAAAGAGGGCCGGCCGAGTGGCGCGATGGTTGAGAACTGGCTTGGGACGCCAGAGGGCCCTGGTTTGGATCCCACATATGAGGGCCGGTGGCGCTGCCCTCCGCAGCTGAGATGCTGGACCCCGGCTGGACCTGGAGCTGGGCTGCCGTGGGTCGCCGGCGACGGCGTAGGCTGCAGCCACTGCGGCAGTGGGTTGCCATGGGCTACCGTGTGTAGCCAGCAGCCGCAGTGAGCGGCCGTCCAGAAGCCGGCGACTGATCTGCCTCACCAGGGAGGAGCGCAGTGGTGGTGCCAACTTGGGCCAGTGAGGCAGCGTCCTCCACAGCTAGACTGAAGAACAAAATGACATCAACTTGTCTGTTCCCCTCCTCCAATTCCTCACCGCTGTTCCCATCCCAATTCCCCAATTAAAAAAATAATAATAAAATAAAATAACAATCTTATAAAAAAAAAAAATCCAAAGATCCAGAATCAAGCAGAGTCTCCCAACACCATGGCCTGGGAAGTGAAAGTAAATAAGACACATTATCTGGTCACCATAGAAATGTCTTCTGTTGTCAAGCACTGGTGCAATCAAGTCTTTCCACAGGTTAGTTGAATCATCCCTTAAAATTTCTATTCTCTGATTATTATTTCAGCTTTCCATATACCTCATCCTAGAGGAGGTACAGTAGATGGTGGACCTCAGTGCTGTGGTCACTGAAAATGTCTCTCTTCCGTAATAAATTAACAAACTGTCATTTGGTGTACATGTCAACTTGAAGTTCGGTTAGTCAGTTCTCACAGCCCCACACAATTTGGTCATTTCTGGAAAACAAATTCCAGTACCAGAACTGAAAAATTAAGACACGAAAAAGTATTGACTGCATCAATATACTTACCCCTCCACCTCCCTGCTATACAGTCATCAAGATGGCCTCTGCATTAACAATTTCCCTTATTACCTCAGTGATGCCAGAAACCAGTTTCCATCTGATTCTAAAGATTTTACAACTTTCATATAGACTAAGCAATTTGCCCCAAGGTAAATGTTTTCTGAGTCCCTATTTCCGGGACTGTCTTGCTATCTCTATTAACCAAGTAATCTCAAATGTGGGCAGCTTCAACAAAGCCAAAATCAAGAGAAAATGTTTAATAAAAACAAATTCTTTCTACCCACAGTTCCTGAATACAAAAGACCAACACAAGAGGTGAATTGCAATCGTTAACACCTTCATTATTTGCCTATAAAATTAGAAAGTTTATTTCTGTTTGTTTTTTAAAGATACTATTCTATGTTGGCAAGGCTAAAGTGAAGTAGGCATTCTCATACACTGCTGGATGAAAGGAGTACAAATTTGAACAACCTTTCTGAAAAGCAATCTGGCAATAAATAGGTCTTTTTTTTATGTTTGTAACTCTTTTAACCCAGCATTTTTTTGGTTCCCTATTGTTAAGGACACTAACTTTAAATAAAGTTTTATTTAGAAAGATGTTTATCACAACAAAAAATCCAACAAAAGGAAAACGGTTAAAATATTATGGTAAATACATAGGCCAGAATACTAGGTAGTCATTAAAAATGAAATCTATAAATAATTTTAATATCACAAGAAAATGTTTAAATGTTTACTTTAAAATACAAAAATATAAAAATATAATCTAAACCATACAAAAAATAGGTATAGAAAGAAAGGTAATGGAATACATCACTGGATGGTAGGACTGTGGATGCTTTCAACTTCATTCTTCAAACTTTTCAGCATTTTTCAATAGTTCTAAGTGATATCTAAAATAAATTTTAATGATAACACTGGATACTTACTAGGTTGTCAGCCTGGTCTCCTTTCACTGAGAACTGCCCTTACCCCTTCCACTGCATTATAGCAGTGGGCTCATAGCCATTTGTACAATCTGACACATACCCCTTTCAGGCCACAGCCAACGGGGCTGGTGAGGGCTATTAACCCCAAATGGGCCATAAGTCCTTTCCTAGACATTTGAAATTGGAACTGGGAGAGAGTAAATCCCCTGTAACCTGTATTTATTTAAGTTTGGGAGCTGGAGGATCAGTGTTTTCCACCATGTGAAACAGAGAAGCAAAGGAAGACAGTCTGCAGGGAGAAAACTGAAGCAGACACAATATAGCATTGAGGTACAGAAAAATTACATATGATTTTCTAGACCCACTACCCTCTCCAGGCTTGGTTATCATCATGTTTCAGAATTTATGAGGCACCCTATTTCCTAATGATAAAGTCCTCTTTTTAATTAACCTAGCATGATTTGGTTTGTTGTAGTGAAACAGTAGCAGTTAATAGTATTTGTAGTATTTGGTGGCCTGTTCATGAAGCAAGAGAACTTCAATCTAATAAGGCCAGCCACTAGGTTGTGACCATGTCGAGGCTATTCTAAAGGCACTGCTTTCAAACCTTGGAACTCGACACAAGTCTATATGTTCTAGAACTCTGGCCCCTGGGATCTTTCAAGCTAACAACTTGAATTACAATAAATCATTGTGTTCACTTTGTGGAGTTAATTTATTCTTTTAAGGGAAAGCATCTCTAAATTGCAAAGAACTAAGAAACAAAATATGTTATAAGCATAATGTAACTTTCCTTTGGAAAAGAGGCAAGTCACGAGAAGAACTGTAAAGAAAAATGCTTTCTCTTCCCATATAGTAATCTTCCCATAATGTGGATGAAGAATGATTCTCATAGGGACTCTCAATAAGTGACCTTCTCGTCCCTTACAGTAAACTACCATTTACTGAGTGTCCTAAGCATTATGTTAGGTATTTTATATAATTCACTTTAATCACTAAAACTAATGAAAGATATGATTTTACACATGTAAAAACTGAGATTCAGAGGTTAAATGGCTTGCTAAAAGGTACCCAGTTACGAAAACAAAAAGGTCAAAATTTCAACTCCAAATCCATGCTCTCTACACTGTTATGAAATTTCTCATAGCTACCATTTCTTGAGCCCTTATCATAAAAGACAGAATAGGGTAACAGCAAAACAAAAACAAAACTCAAGAGTCCAATAACAGCAATAGCAACAAAAAAGTGAAGTCACAAAAGAGAGTAGTCTTTATATTTAAAGTTTATAAAGAGTTTGAACTTTAAAAAAAGAGTTTGCAATATGACTGCTTTTATAATATTCAGAGAAGAAAATGAACATAACCTTTCACATATAATATAACCTAGATCTCAGAAAATGACAAAAAAGGCAACCTAAATGTCCCCAAACAAGGGACTGTTTTCAGTAAATTATAGAAGATCACAAGCAAAATCAGAAATAAACTATTATGAGAAAAAAATAAACTGGAAAACTATCTGTACTTCCAATTACAAAGGACCACTTCCCCTAATACTCAAACAATCCCTACAAACCACTAGAAAAAGATTGTCAAAAAAGAAAAATACCCATAATATCTAAAACACAGAAAAGGAAATACAAATGAGTCTCAACTACACACATTAAGAAAAATGTAAGTTAAGTCTGCATTGAGGTACTTTTTGTCTCTCAGATTAACAAGATCAAGAGGTCCTGATAATACTGTATGAGTATGGGTATGGGGAAGCTCGTACTCATCATATATTGCAGTGAGTGTAAATTTATACAACCTCTATGGAAGGCAATTTGACAATAGATAACAAAACTATAAATGCATATATACTTTGATCCATCAATTACATCTACAAAAAATTATTCTACAAATATCTCCCATGTGAATGAAAAAAATCTTCTGAACAAGAGTAATCACTGCAGTAGTGTTTTTAATAGTAAAATATTGGAAACAATCTAAATATCCACCAATAGGAGCACTGGGTAAAATAAACTTATCCATACGTGGCATATTACACATCCAAAACAAGAGAGAAATTCTTTATGTAGTGTTATGGAATGACATCACAGATATTAAATGAAAAAAGCAAGGTGCGGATTAATGTGTAGAGTGTTCTATGCTCTGCGTAAAAGTTGCTTGTACTACATAAAATATCTTGGAAGGATATACTAGAAACTAGTAATAAAAGTTGACTCCAGGGAGGGGAACTGGTTGGCTGTGGATGGGGATAAGAGACAGACTTTTTATTTATATCTTTTTTTTAAACTTTAAGCCATGTGAACATTATTACCCATTCAAAACCTTAACTTTTTAGAAGTAATAAAAATTTTAAAACACAAAAAATAGATTATGCTGTATCCACATAATAGAATGTTTTTGAGCAGTTAAAAGGAAAAGATCTAAGATAAACTATTAAGTATTCATTTTGTTGAAAAATTAAAAAGAAAAAAATATTCTTCTATGCATTCAAATAATGACTGCCTCTTGGTGCTGAAATTATAGGTAATTTTTTCTTCTTTACACTCTTCTTTTGTGCTTTCCTAATTTTCCATAGTGAGCATGTGTTACGTTAAAAATACAGGGGGAAAGATCATAAAAAGAACAGATAGCTAAAATCCTGGTTTAATCTGTGAATAAATCATCCTTAATCACAGCATCACTGACCCTTACCTGACCATGACTGGTTGTTGGTTCTTCCTCCAACAAAAGTTTCTCTTTCAAGCTTTTAATTGGGCTTTCTTGGAAATCCTTGGTTTTTGAGTGCCAGACAGATGCCCTAGACTCCTGCCTTTCCTCCTCTTTGTCTTCATCTCCCATATCTTCTGAGATGCTTTCATTTTTTTCACTAGCTTGATCTCCTTGGCCACATTTATTCTGGGTCAGAGAAGGAGGTCTAGGTAACACTGGTTCCCCAAATCTTATTTTTTTAAAGAGTTGCCCCTGAGCCATTTTTAGGCTCTTTTGATAAACCTCCAACTGGCAGAGAATGACCTTGGTGTATTGGTTGGGATCTACTCCAGCAGGGCAGAATGGGATACCCCAGAAGTAGTGCACAGTGCCGCCAGTGTCCTGGAGACCTGTGGCACCCACTGAGGTAGGCAGACAGTGCCTAGATGTGTCCCCCCTATTCTGCGCAGTTTCGTGAAAAGCACAACCCCTCCCAGTCCTTTCCTGTGGCTTCCCACACTGTGTGTGCTCAGCCCAGTGGCCAGTACATCTGTCAAAACATTTAATGTTCTCATTCTCAAACACTGGCTGGCTTGACTGGTCCCGGCTTCCTGAGCTGCCAGAGACCGGCTCCTCTTCAGTGTTTTCAGTGTGGTCCCAAGGCTCCTCTCTTTCCTCAGCCTCGTTTCCCTGACTGACATGTGAGCCTTTAAACAGTGATGGAGGTACCAGCTGCCATATGCCTGTAGGTATTTGAGAAAAAGTAGGGCTAAGGACAAACTTGTTTTTTATTAATAGGGCTTGGTAAGCTCTCACTTACCAAGAATTACATAATATGGGTTTAAAAAAGGCTCTTCTTTGGGTTTAACCAAATGTTGGCTTTTCCTTGGAGATAAAAGTATGTTGGATATTAGTGAGATCTCAACTACTTTCTGATTTAACCTCTTTAATACCACCCAAGGGATTTTGGGAATTTCTGTATATCTACTCTCAGCATGAGATCCCTGTGATATGGTTCTACTTGATGAGTGCCAAGGAGTCAGATCAGGGAGACATGCCTTCAGTGGTCCCAGAGTCTGTGGTTTTCTCTTGGTGGGACTGTGAAGATGGTCCAGTGGCCAGAGGTCGAGATGTGGTAGCAGAAGCATCAGAAGGCCGGCAACTCTGAAACAAGTGATCCCACACCAGACCAGGTTTATTATTACAACAGCTACACATGAAGGGTCACAGGAGGGACAAAAAGGGGAGGCTGCTGTCCCTAAGAGAGCCTCCTCTTTAAAATGTAGATGCTCAGTTCAAATGAATTCCACAATGTGTACTGAAGGCTTACTATGTGCAAAGTGCTTTATTAGTTCACTATACTAAACCCTTTTCTAATACAGAGAAGTGGATGGCATAAATGGCTCTGGACCTACCATTGACAAATATCATTCACAATTAAAATAATTTCAACTACACATATGACTATTCAAATCACAATTTAACATTATTTGAAAAAATTTAAAACTGCCCATTCTTTCTCTCCATAACACACCTCTGGCTCTCATTCCCCTTGCTCTCCCCACAGAACAGAAGAGGTAAGCATCTTATCTTGCCCCTTTTGGTTTCTTGCTAATAGGTAACTCTTTTCCGAAGCTGCCAACTACTATGGCTCTTTTAAGCCATAGACTGAGAATCTGTAAGGTGGAAGAAAACTCTTTCACATACAATTAACAAAACACTTCAAATTGGGTTAACTAACAATTCAACATGGGCTTTAAAAACTATTATGGGAACTATTAGTTGAAAACCCTATGAACTACTACAGCTAGTTCCTAACGCAACCATAACACCACAGAAGTAAAATAATATTGCTTATCAATTCTCATAAACTGTTTCAACATAGCATATTTACATTCAGGCTTTCTGCAATGGCTTTCTTCAAGAGCTCCTCTTCCTCCTCCTCCTGGCTGTTCACCTCCCTAGCTTCCTGCTCACTCATTTTGAGAGCCAGAGCAAACTGTTCTTCTTCTGTCATTTCTATAAGAGGATAGGGAAGAGAGGGGAGGGACACAACAAACAATAAATAAGCATGGAGGCAAGAAATAGAACTATTAAACTTTTCAAGTGAAGACACTACAGACCATTTAGTACAATTTTATAATCTTATAAACAAGGAAAGCCCCAAAAGGTAAGGTGTTGGTCAAGATCAAGAGCAGAAGTTACAACAAGAATCCTGGGTTAATTAGATTGAGCTCCTGTGAAGGCAGAGTTCTTGCCTATTTTGTTCATTGTTGTATAATATCTCCAACATATAAAAGAGTGCCTGGTACTCAAGTATTTGGTGAATGAATCAACAGATGAACTTCCACCCCAGTGCTTTTTTGTAACACACCATACTGCTTTATGCTCAACCCTTAACCAGAATAATTTTAGTCTTCAGCGTCCTCTTATTTACCCAGTAGAAAAGATCATCCCTACTGACCAGAATGTGATCTACAAACACCATTTCCCATTTAAAGTAAGTAGGGTGTCTTGGAGAAATGGCTGATTCTAAGTCTGGAGCTAGAAATGTAGAAGATGAACTAGAATATGTCATACCTGTAAGCAAAGAAATCTATCAGACACTATTAGGGTCATATCAAAAGATTTAACAGCCAACTTAAAAAGGTTCTCACTGGCCAAAAATGGAACAACTGGAACGAACATCAATAAAAATAAGGAATGCAATGAATTAAAACACATTAAATATGTTTAAATCTATGAGTTCATAATGATACTTAAAACACACACACACACAACTGATCACTGTTGAAGAATGTTAGTGAATCAATTATTTTGAAAGCTGGTAAATAAAAGAACAGAGAATTAAGCTTTTATCCTACTCTTCCAACACAAACTATACTACTGGGTAACCAAATAGATGAAGAGAAGTTTCTCTTTAGAAAAAATTATTATTCCAGCTAATAAAAATATAAAAGAAATGATAGAACATCACCATTTTGAATAACGTCTATGGAAAGGATTTTGGCAATTTCTAACAAACTACATATATGACCCAGCCATCCAAATTCTAGCAATTTACTCTAAAGATATACTTCTAATTAAAAGTAAATACGTACTGCATTTTTCATTGCAGCTGTTTGAACTTGTAAAATACTGAAATCTACTTAATGACCCACATAGGACACTGCTTAAACAAACTCTGGTGTGTATGTATATATATATATATATATATATATATATATATATATACACACACATAAAACTGTAAAAAAAGAATCAGAACGATATCTGTAGACCAGGAATAGAATGATTTCAACACGATATTAAGTTAAAAAAAACAGGCAAAGTACAAAAGAGTGTATCTATAGTATGCTACTTTTTGTGTAACACAGGAGAAATTTTTAAAAAATACACATACCTGTTTATTTTTGCAAAAAAATGACACAACCAAGATAAGTCAGAAACTAATCCAAGTGGTTACATACAGGTAATTGGGAACAGGTGGAAAGCATTAGAGAGGGGGTGACACTTCTCTGACTACACCTACCTTTTTGTATAACTTTGAGACTTACAGAATCATGTAAATGTTATACATATTTTTTAAAAGTAAAATAAAATCAATAAGGATGAGGGATCCCTGAAGTTGAATGCAAACATTAAAAAATGCACCCAACTGAATTTGAAATAACCTTAATGAGGATGAAAACATCAAAATTTGTGGGATGCACCTAATGCAATGTTTACAGGGAAATGTATAGCTTTATATGATCATATCAGAAAAGTTTAAAATCAGTGATCCAAGCTTCCCACTTTAAGAAACCAGAAAATAAAGAGTGAAATTAACCCAAAGTAAGTAGCAGAAAGAAATATAAAGAGCAGAAACTGACAAAATAGAAGATGGCATATATTAGAGAAAAAAATTAGAAACAAAAATTGGTTCTATGAAAAGTTCAATAAAATTTATAAAACTCTAAGTAGACTTATTAAGGAAAAATAAGAAAACAAATGAACAATATAAGGAATGAAAGAGGAGCTACATCACTACAGATTCTACAGTCATGAAAATAATAATAATAATAAGGGAATAACATGGACAGTTTTATGCCAATAAATTTGACAACTTGGATCATGCATTCTCACCAGGGGTGATATCATCCCAAAGTGGACAAGAATTGGTTTTTTTTTTTTAATTGGGGAATTGGGGGATGGGAACAGCGCTGGGGAATTGGGGGAAGGGGAACAGACAAGTTGCTGTCGTTTTGTTCTTCAGTCCAGTTGTGGAGGACGTTGCTTCACTGGCCCAAGTTGGCACCATCATTGCGCTCTTCCCGGGTGAGGCAGATCAGTCACCGACTTCTGGACGGCCGCTCACTGCAGCTGCTGGCCGCTCACGCTGGCTGCTGGCCGCTCATGCTGGCTGCTGGCTACACACGGTAGCCCATGGCAACCCACTGCCACAGGGGCTGCAGCCTACGTCGTCACCGGTGACCCACAGCAGCCCAGCTCCAGGTTGAGCTGTTGTTCAGCATTTAGCTGTAGAGGGCAGTGTCACTGGCCCTCATATGTGGGATCCGAACCGGGGCCCTCTGGCATCCCAAGCCAGTTCTTAACCATCGCGCCACTCGGCCGGCCCAAGAATTGGTTCTTGAACGTCAAAAAAATCTTACTCTCTTTATGTATAAAACACAGATATATAATCAGTATATAAACCAGGATATATTGCACCAGTGGTATTAAAAGTTCATTAGGAGGGGCCGGCTGAGTGGCTCAGTTGGTTAAGAGCTCGCTCAAAGGTTTGAGCTCTGAGCAACAGCGGTTCGAGTCCAGCCCGAGCTGAGCTGCCGCTGAGCTGCCAACAGGTGGCAGGATGGCTCAGCTAAAAAAAAAAAAAAAAAAAAAAAAGTTCATGAGGTAGTTAGGAAAAAAAATGTCTAAAAAGGATCCTTTGGGGACCAACAATGAAAAAAAAGTTTGTGAAACACTGATTTAGCTGACAAATAAAAAAGTCACTGAAAAACACAAATTATAGAAACTGACACAAGAAGAAACAAAATCTGAATAGCTTTATACCTATCAAAGACATTGAACTTGTAATTGAAAATTTTTCCATAAAGAAAATCCCATAGCCATCCAACATTCATCACTGGTGAATTCTATCAAAGAATACGCGTAAAGAAAAAGTAATACCAGACTAATTCAGAAAATAAAAGACCAATTCTACACAAATTGATTAATAGATTCAACACAATCCCAATAAAAATCCCAACAAGCTTGTTTAATGAAACATAATAGAAAATTCAGAAATAGATTCACAGATTGATTTTTGATTGATTTTCAACAAGGACAGGCTTTTCAACAAATAGTGCTAGAACAACTGGATATCTAAAACTTAAAAAATGAAACTTGCGCTGGCCGAGTGGCTCGTTGGTTAAGAGTTGGCTTGGGAACACAAGCTCTGAGCAGCAGGGCCGCCGGTTGGGATCCCACATGGACCAGTGGCGCTGCGCCCTCTTACAGCTAAGATGGTGAACAACAGCTCGACCTGGAGCTGGGCTGCCGTGAGTCACTGACGACGGCGTAGGCTGCAGTGGGCTGCTGTAAGCTACCATGAGTGGCCGGCAGCTGGCGAGAGCTGCTGTGAGCGGCTGTCCAATGACCAAAGACCGATCTGCCTCAGCCGGGAAGAGTGCAATAACCACAATACCAACATGGGCCAGTGAAACAACGTCCTCCACAACTAGACGGAAGAACAAAAGGACAGCAACTTGTCTGTTTCCCTTCCCTGATTCCCCAGCGCAGCTCCCCTCCCCCAATTCCCCAATAAAATCTTTAAAAAAGAAAAAAAGAAAAAGGTAAGCTACAAAATGGGAAAACATGTTCACAATACATATAATCTGACAAAGGACTTGTATCCAGAATTTATAAAGAAATCCTATCATTTGATAAGAAAACAAGAAATCTAATTTGAAAAATAATGAGCAAGGGATCTAAACAGATACTCCACAAAAGAAAATATCAGAATGACCAGTAAGCACATGAAAAGATCATTAGTCATGCAAGTTAAAAATGAGATACCAGGCTGGCCGAGTGGCGCGTTGGTTAAGAACTGGCTTGGGACGCCAGAGGGCCCCGGTTTGAATCCCACATATGAGGGCCAGTGACACTGCCCTCTACTGCTAGGATGCTGAACAACAGCTCAACCTGGAGCTGGGCTGCCATGAGTTGCTGGCGACAGCGTAGGCTGCAGCCCCTGCTGCAGTGGGTTTCCATCGGCTACCGTGTGTAGCCAGCAGCCAGCGTGAGCTGCCAGCAGCTGGCCGCCGTCCAGAAGCCGGCGACTGATCTGCCTCGCCCGGGAAGAGCGCAAAAATGGTGCCAACTTGAGCCAGTGAAGCAATGTCCTCCACAACTAGACTGAAGAGCAAAACCACAGCAACTTGTCTGTTCCCCTTTCCTTCCCCCAATTCCCCAGTGCTGTTCCCATCCCCCAATTCCCCAATAAAATCTTTAAAAAAAAAGGAGATACCACCATATGTCATTAGACTAACTAAAATGAAAAAGATCGATATTCCTAACAAAGTCACTAATAAATCATCAAGAAAAAGTAATTACATCCTATATGTTCAATTTAAGGGTACCAAAAATCATGTAATACCAAACAAGTAAGTCTGAGCTCTTTGTAATACTTTGCTTTTCAAACATCCTATTCCCTAAAGGTTCTGGAGAGATGAGGCTTTGCTGCATTAACTGAAGTATTCTCCAGACTCTGCCCTCTTGCCTCACCACTAAAACAAAAACTTGAATTCAGTAACACAGTGTGATTCTGGGCTTAAATCTTGATTTCAGCTCTTTAGTTGTGCAATACTGAGCAGCTTACTTATCCTCTGGTACCTGGATACTGGTACTGGTTTCTGTAAATCTCTCCCCCTTCTTTTAATATGCTGTGGACATGCATGTAAAGTAAGTACACCCTTCACCTTAGGGATTCTCATGTAAATATGATTTTGTAATACTTATTTTAGTTCACACATATG